CGGATTGGAGAAATAATAATATTATACCATTCTCAGAGAAAAATACTTTGGCATATTCAATGTTAGTTATTAAAACTGACCATCCTGAAAAAAGGAAAATCTAAAAGGCCAAAAAAAGAGAAACATTGATTTTTAAAAACTTTTATACAATAATGGTGAATAAATAATAATTCTACTAACTTTCACTAATCCAATTTTTTCTGGATCTGATTCACTAATAACGCGCTGAATTTCATGTTGTCCTTTGTTGAATAATACAGCCCTTGCAAACTTAAATATAGGTACAGTTGGAATGAGTTCTAATTCTTTAGGAGGTCTATAGGCTCTATGAATAAAATAGAGCCCAAGAATTAAGACCGCTAGAGGGATTGAAGAAAAGAAAGAAATCATTTTTGTAGAAATAAAACAATTCTTTTTTTTTGTAAATATATACCTTTATTACCTTATCATTGAACTGATTTACATGCAAATCAGTTGTAGTTCTAAGTACACGACATATTCCTGCATTATTTAGACCTTTTCATTTTATTATTTTAGTTTAGTCGTTTTTATGTTATTTAGGAAGGGACAAATTTGGACTAGCACAGATGGGTAATGCTAGAGTTAATACATGAATCCGGATTTAATAATTGTCCGGATTAATGATTAAATATATAAATTCATAATTCGGATTTAGCTTTAACGTTAAGAGTTTATTCATTCTAAATGTCAATTTAGGTTTAGATCATTAACAAAAATTATATTTGATTTGGAATCATGTTTATATCTGATATAGTGATAAATTCTTAGTTTGACTTTAGGAATAACTATATATTACATAATATGATTACTAATGAAACGTGAGAAAACTTTAATATATTGTTCTGTACAATTTACCGGAACCCATTCCTGAAAAGATGAAATCGTGTAATAATGCAATTCACTAACGCCGATAAACTTACCAATCGATTAGGAGATTTGTGCCGATCCGGATCACTAATTCAAAGTGACCAATACTATTTAATTCAGTTAAATAACTTAATTTATGCGGAAAATCTGTGGGGAACTCACCTAGGTCGCCAAAATCTAACATCATCCCAAATCTGTTACACCTGCACAGGATGTACCCGTTAGTCTGCCATAGATCTGCCAAATACCTGCTGAATATCAGCAGCATATTGGCAGCATATTTGTAAGTTATTGT